CTACTACTACTACTACTACTACTACTACTACTACTACTACTACTACTACTACTACTACTACTACTATTACTGCTACATATACTACTACTACTATTACATATACTACTTCGACTGCTACTACTAATAAAAATTCTTCTTCTTCATCTTCGTATTATTATTATTATAAATATTAATTATTATTAATATTATTATTATTCTTCATCATCATCTTCTTCTTCTTCTTCTTCTTCTTCTTCTTCTTCTTCTTCAACATCTTCTTCTTCGTCTTTTTCTTCTGTGTAGTTGTTGCATTTTACTCCCAAAGATATCTCCTGTAACTTAAATAGTTAAGTTTCATTGGCAAGTATTTTACTGTTTCATAATTTCTTCTGTTAATATCCAGCTGTTACTAAATTCCAGCTGTTATTACCATCCAGCTGTTACTACAATCCAGCTGTTACTATCATCCAGCTGTTATTACCATCCAGCTGTTACTACCATTCAGCTGTTTCTACCATCCAGCTGTTACTACCATCCAGCTGTTACTACCATACAGATGTTATTACCATCCAGCTGTTACTACCATACAGATGTTATTACCATCCAGCTGTTACTACAATCCAGCTGTTACTATCATCCAGCTGTTATTACCATCCAGCTGTTACTACAATTCAGCTGTTTCTACCATCCAGCTGTTACTACCATCCAGCTGTTACTACCATACAGATGTTATTACCATCCAGCTGTTACTACCATACAGATGTTATTACCATCCAGCTGTTACTACCATCCAGCTGTTTCTACCATCCAGCTGTTACTACCATCCAGCTGTTACTACCATCCATCTGTAGTCATTGCTGTTATTACCATCCAGCTGTTACTACCATTCAGCTGTTTCTACCATCCAGCTGTTACTACCATCCAGCTGTTACCACCATCCATCTGTTACTACCATCCATCTGTTACTACCATACAGCTGTTACTACCATATAGCTGTTACTACCATACAGCTGTTACTACTATCCATCTGTTACTACCATCCATCTGTTACTACCATACAGCTGTTACTACCATATAGCTGTTACTACCATCCAGCTGTTACTACCATCCAGCTGTTACTACTATTCAGTAGTTATTACCATCTAGCTGTTACTACCAACCAGCTTATATTATCCTGTGCTGACACAGAAAAACAGTCTTGTTAGGATGTCTGTATCAACAGTGTTGATGTGTGTATCGGTTTGAAATACATGTATGCTATATTACCCCATGATTCATGTAAGTGTGATTACGAAACCTGCTGCAAATGAAAAAAAAATGATTGTGGAAGCGAGGACCTCATAAAATCTAAAAACGAACGTTGATGAGAGAGGGCAAATGTGCTGGACTGGATTCTATCCATGATATCGAGTGGATTGAACAGGATATAAGGAAATAGAGGTATAGACGCGAGCCCTATATTACATATAATGGGACAACAGGAAAAGCATGATGATGATGATGTGTGATTACCTGGCGAAATACTAAACACATCATCAGCTGAGTGTGGATTTGTCTATGAAGATTTTTAGCCAGCACAGTGCACACGGTACACGTGAAGACGTGCAATATGACTCTTTCATGTGTAACTCCAAACATAAAAGTTAAGAAGAAAAAAGGGTCTTTTGAGCTGAAATGCAATAGAAAGATTCTAAGACAGAGCATAGAACAAGAAGAACAGAAGAAATACTGACATCCAAAAAGATCTGGACATTAAAGAAGATGACTAGTAAATAGTATATTGTCCAGGAAACTGAAACATTTTAGTCATATTAAGCGCCACGGAGAATTTGGGGGTGGGGGTCGGAGGGGGTGGAATTGCATCAGACATGGTACAGGTAAGAGAGAGTAAGTGCCGGCCGACACAAAGATGGGCAGAGGATATAAGTGACAGTTTGAGTAGGGAGGCGTACGAGGTAGGAGAGATGGTTAGAAACGGAATTGTTTGCAGTCAGACCGTGATAAAAGCGACGATGATTCTACGTGTGTGTGTGTGTGTGTGCGCGCGCGCGCGTGCGTGTTCGTGTGTGTGTGTGCGCGCGTGTGTGTTCGTGTGTGTGTGAGTGAGTGAGTGAGTGAGTGAGTGAGTAAGTGTGTATGTGAGTGTGAGTGAGTGAGTGAGTGAGTGAGTGAGTGAGTGAGTGAGTGAGTGAGTGAGTGAGTGAGTGAGTGAGTGAGTGAGTGAGTGAGTGAGTGAGTGAGTGAGTGAGTGAGTGAGTGAGTAAGTGAGTGAGTGAGTGAGTGAGTGAGTGAGTGAGTACGTGCGTGCGTGAGTGCGTGAGTGAGTGAGCGAGCAAGCGAGTGAGTGAGTGAGTGAGTGAGTGAGTGAGTGCGTGAGTGAGTGAGTGAGTGAGTGAGTGAGTGAGTGAGTGAGTGAGTGAGTGAGTGAGTGAGTGAGTGAGTGAGTGAGTGAGTGAGTGAGTGAGTGAGTGAGTGAGTGAGTGAGTGAGTGAGTGAGTGAGTGAGTGAGTGGAGTGAGTGAGTGAGTGAGTGAGTGAGTGAGTGAGTGAGTGAGTGAGTGAGTGAGTGAGTGAGTGAGTGAGTGAGTGAGTGAGTGAGTGAGTGAGTGAGTGAGTGAGTGAGTGAGTGAGTGAGTGAGTGAGTGAGTGAGTGATAACGTTGACAGGTAACTGTCTGCTACAGAACAGCTCTAGCACAGTCGGGGTGCTTTAAATCTTTTAACCCTGATTTTTGGGGATATGGAAAGCATTCTGTGTGATCATAGTTTCTTGTCCCATTTGAAAGCTGGGTCAACATGAGAGCAACAGTCAATGTAGAAAATACTTCATGGGTGGGGGCAACTCAACAGGAATCTTTCTATCATCAGAAAAGCATCAGTAGATTATCTGAAAAGTATACGATGACAATCTTTTTTATCTCAGATGTAGAGGAAGATAAATGGATGAAATTTCACATTGAAGTTTACTTAATTATCAACGTTACATGAGATCTTTTCATCACATAACATGTAATTAGAATTAGAGCTGTAACGAATAGTGGTTTTCACTGTTCGGCCGAATACAAATAGTGGGACCAACTATTCGGCCGAATACGAATACGAATAGTGTATCATCATCATCAGGTGCCTCGCCGACTGGTGTGGCGATTTTTCCTCGCCACAATCTGCGATCTCCTGCAGCATGTATCAGTTTGTGTGCTTACACACCTCCATGACATGCAACGACTGTCAAGAATCTTCTCTCGTTGTCTTTTTCTATATCTCCTTCCACAAATCTTTCCAGTGGTCACCACATGTTCCATTTTCACTCTTTCTATATGATGACTGTCTTCTTCTGATGTCTGCGATTAGTTGTCTTCGAGCTCCCGCCTCTTTCAAAACCTAGTGGTTGCTTTTTTTTAAGCTGTCCAAGGTATTTTAAGCATTGTTCTGTAAAACCACATCTCTGAGGCCTCAAAAAATTGTTTGGCCTGGCTACCAATTGTCCAGGACTCATAGCCATATGTTAAAACTGGATGTATGTAGCAAGCAAGACAACGATATATTGCACAAGATGTTCATTTTTTTAAATATAAAATGCGTTTTTAGCCTGTCCTATTTTGTTTTTTATTTTAGTAATGCATCTTTCATCTGATTTTATCCATGTGCCAAATTCGCATTTAAATCATTTTTCGTTCAGACGTTCGTTCAGTGTAATTTAAATGCACCTTCATATTCTCGTTTGCAATATCTTCAATGTGATTTGGGAAAAGACACCCCGAAAGAACAAAAAAAAATGCATGCTTTCTCTTTGTCTCTCTCTCTCTCTCTCTCTCTCTCTCTCTCTCTCTCTCTCTCTCTCTCTCTCTCTCTCTCTCTCTCACACACACACACACACAGATACACTTTCAAGTTTCTTCATGCCTTCTTTAACACAACAGTAGCGATGCCTAAATCTTTCGTAGCGGGAAAAACGGCGACCCGTTTGCGTGGTAACAGCGCCTGACCCCGAGGCATTACAGCAGAGGTTCTAAAACTGGGTGCGTATGACAGAGGTGCCGCGGCGAAAATCAAGAAAAGTCGGCTATAAATTGTGACATTATTAATGAAAGAGTTATTTTAGTCCATCGCAGTGTATGCAGAAATCACTATTCGTATTCGGCCCGACCGCCACTATTCGGCCGAATAGCTAGTAGGTCCACTATTCGGCCCCGAAGCGAAAACGAAGCTAATATTTGGTACAGCCCTAATAAGAATGCATTTTTGCTTATTTGAGGTGTATTGAAATACGATGATCCTTACTGGATTGTCTTTTAAGAGTTTTACAGCACAAAGTTCAAATGTTACCCATCGACCGTTCACAAAAACACCCATTTCTTGTGTTGAATATAAATTCCGAATAAGACGACAAATGTTACAATGAAAATGTCTAAACGCGCTGTGAAATGCGTGTAATGCAGTGTCCTCACAAATTAAAAAGGCGTAACTTATGTGGTTAGTTTCGGTGTTATGGGAATGGCACTGAATGTTAAAATTTAACAATGCAGTTACGTAATTATTTATTGTTGAATGACATACGAGATTGTCTGTATTATTCTATTTCAAACCCAGAGAGATGAAAAAAACATGGCTTATATATTACCGACCTGGCATTTTCAAAATTGACTTGAGAAGAGTTTTGATTCTGTTTACGTCTATTGAGGGACGAAGAAAAATAAAATGTGTAGCTTTGACGTGTATAAAACATTAAAGTGGAGATGACCAAATAGGAGGCCATTCAAATCACATTCTCATGATAAGTAATAAGCGAGAGATTTACGACAATTTAAAGTCATGAATTTGTTGACGGACTATAGTACCACGGTAACTGGAACTCTGGGCTTGCTGTTGAAGATAGGGATCACTGCAATTTTATGAATATCCCCTGTACTTTAATGTCGGTTCTTAAATCATAACTCTTCATTGTATCTATTGTCTTTGTATATAGTTTAGAACTGGTTCCAGTTAGCATTGATGTTATAATAATGTTTTCTTTTTTTAATAGATATCAAAATTGCTGGTACTTCATTCGTGGAAAAGGACGACCAGATACATTTAATTTGTAATGCTACCGGCCTAGAACATCCTCCTGACTACTTGGACTGGTTTCTCAATGGAAACAAGCTATCAACTCGGAACAGCAACAAGATTTCCATCAGGTATTCTATTATAAACGTTTCGGCTGTTAACCCTAAAACGAGCGTTTAGTGCACTGTGTTGCAGTGTACAATTATTGGGCGATATCTGGACTGTTTAGTCCAACACTGCTGAACACTCTCTACTTATATTTTATTTAGAAGGGGAGCGGAGTGCATGGGGCTCAAGATCCCCATCCCGTGGTCTGGTGACGATGTTTCATCTCTGACTTTTTTTTATAGTTCGTTTTCTAAACAGCGGCGTTAAATAATGCATTCATAAAGAACTGATCTTTTTCTTCTTCTTCTTCTTCTTCTTCTTCTTCTTCTTCTTCTTCTTCTTCTTCTTCTTCTTCTTCTTCTTCTTCTTCTTCTTCTTCTTCTTCTTCTTCTTCTTCTTCTTCTTCTTCTTCTTCTTCTTCTTCTTCTTCTTCTTCTGCTTCTTCGTGTTCACCGAATGTCAACTCCGGCGGAAAGTTCGGGTTGTTTGTCCACCTCTAGACTTTAGTCTTGTTCCAGAACCTGAGTCTTCGGTGTACATCTGTTTAACAGATCTGACTTAATTGTATGCAGATTGTTGGTTCCTTGCCTCTCAGACAGATGCACTCTGACTTCACAGAAAGCCCACAGTAAGTCAGCTCTTATGACATGCTTGTTGGGGGGAGGTGGGGGGGGGGGGCAGTGAATTTATTCTTGTTTTTCACACACTGGGGCCCGGGAACATGAATCAGGCATTGTTTTGGACTAAAATAATCCAGAGACACTGAAACATTTGCCAAAGCTATCTTGGTGGACACATGATGATGATGATGATTACGATGATGATGAGGAATTTTATTTGGTTTAGAAAGTTCTCTGTCACTGATCCCTAAGCCCCCTACGATCGTCTCAAATTGAAACATTAAAGTTTTGGTACATAAAGCAGCGTCACTAAAACGTAAAGTACACTATTGACCTCACTAGGGTGTCGGGCTTATGATGCTATACTCCAATGGTCTCAAACCCTTTTCATTTAGCGCACGACGTCAGTATATAGCAAGATCCACTACGCCCCTTCTCACGAAACAAAATGGACAAAAAGAGAAGAAAAATCTCAAGTACTGTTAACAAGAGCTTAGAGCAAAATAGACACACAATTCAAAATGTCAAATAATAAAAAATGACGCTTATAAACAACTGGGGATTTAATATCTAAATATCATTGTGATGGTAGAAACTGTTTTGTCTTAATGATGTCTGATAATTTTGGTCTATTGTTCAACAAAGCACAACGAGGATCACTCTCCGCTTCAAGCTATTTTGTTTTCCCAACTGTTAAAGCTGAAAATCAATAATAACACAAGTACAAACGCGCTCAGTAAAAACATTTCTTGATACACCCCCCTAATTCATCTTCACGACATCCACCCCCCCCCCCAACCCCCAGAATGTAGACCACTATAAACTCGTGTAGACTATTGGTTTTTAGCCTTGGAAACAACAAAAAAGGGGGTGGGGCACTTGTCATAAATTCAAGGAAGCGCCACCTGGAAAAAAAGGGGGTAGATAACAATTGGTATAGACCAAGTGAAACACGGTGGGTGGTGTGACTGGCATTATGACAACATGCATGAAGCCCTTTTGTTATCAGTAGTTTGTTGCAGGTTATACCTGGCTGGTGTCGCCGTTACGGATGCCATAACTATAACTTCTTTTGGAAGTTTAATGGGGTATCTGAGATCTACACTGTTGGCCTCCTATGTAGATTCAGATTTTTTAAATCTCATGATGATATGGTAAAGCCTGTAGGTAGCTACCCGGTGGGCACTAACTTATCGACGCTTTGACAGATTTGTGTGTATGTGTGGGTGTGTGTGTGTGTGCGTAAGTGCATGCGTGCGAGCGATAATGAGTATCATGAGAGAGAGAGAGAGAGAGAGAGAGAGAGAGAGAGAGAGAGAGAGAGAGAGAGAGAGAGAGAGAGAGAGAGAGAGGGAGAGAGAGAGAGTATGTTTAATTTCAAAATCAAGCCTGGGCAGTAACACATTTTTTGCATTTTTCTGTTTAAATTTCCAGCGTCACGTGATTTTGTGAATGTTCACAGCGTGTGAAAGTATCTGTCTTGTTTAAATTTGACCCTAGTATGACACAGACACAGACTAAATTACACAGTCCCAGAATGATATCATCTTTCTGCATCCTGTAAAATGCTGTGTTGACCTTGTCACATAAATCGTAGCAGCTGGAGCTAGGGGGGCGGATGTGGAACTGTTGAGTTACTGAACCTCCCTAAGTTACGTTTATGTGTTCAAAATAGCAAAATGAGCATGATATGACAGGAGCAATTACAGGAAAGGTGTTTAAAAAATGAGAATTTAAAAAAAAAAACATAACGAAAATCTAAGAACTCGACAGGTGAACTCAAATAAACGGTATGTTTTGCAGCAAGAATTTATCTTTGCATTTATTTGCTTTAGAAATGATATTACACCAAATGCAAAGTGAACATTAAGGGTAGATGAATATCATCAACATCATGTAGCGTGTCCATTGCAAAACGTTGCTCTCATTACATTCTGCCTGGGGAAAAAAACTCGGTCTCTCGCCAGCTCTCATTTTCAAGGTCTCACTTATGTTCTTCGTGTTGGTCGTCCCTTGCCCTTTCTTACTGGTAAAGTGTCTTTTGCTATTATTTTTGTCAAATCTACCATGGCACTTGATATCGCCTGAATATTTCAGCTTTAGAGACAAGGCTGTTTATTAGTCGATCAATGAATATAAAATAACACAAATACGAACCAGCTCTGCTGTTTTAAGTCTTGTTAGTGTTTTACTGAGGCCTGCATAAAATACATTATTTTCTGTCTCCACAATAAAGATTACAGAGGGGCAAGCAGTGCTTCATAGATCCCGGGTAGTTAGCGTCCTTTGGATATTTTCTCTAGTTATGCTGGTGTGTTGAGAAACGAGCAGGCAGACAGACTGGCCGATTCTGCACCACTTGACGGTATACTGATGTATTACAAGCTAGATGTTCTGAGGGCCCTTTGAGAGCGAGTGACCAGTGCAGAGGCACAAATAGATCATTACGGTCTGAGTATAATGGCGCTGCGGGTCGTTACCAGGGGGTCTGGCCGACGCTCAACACTCAAGGGAAAGGTGGAACAGATGTACCATCAGATGGTTACTTGTATCATCGGAATAGGAACTCTTCGCTTGCTGCTGGAGATGGTGACGTGTGGCGATGATGTTATTTAAATGAAATGAATTAAAGGTAAGGCAATGGTAGCAAAATGAAATCTATAAAAATATGGGTCAACTTTACAGAAATCATGAAAGTAAACAAGCAAAGAACGTTGCGGTGACAAATCTTCATCAAAAGAAAACAAAATACAACACAACGTTTTAACTTACTCTGAAGTAACTATACTACGTCCACACACACACACACACACACACACACATACACAAGTGTAAACCTAAAACTAAGTTAACCGACAGAATGATTTACAGTTTATGGTACTTTGACTCCAAGTTATACCCAGACTAAAATGGGTACGAGGTAATGAAATGGGAAGAAAAGGCGGCCGGGGTGATTAATACATTACTATGTCATTGACTCCCAGGTCAGCCCATACTAAAACGGCTACCAAGTAATGCAATCGGAAGAAAAGACAGCCGGAGTGACGAACACGCCACTATGTCTATAAAAAAAACATGATTGGTGTATGCCTGATACGCTAATGGCGTAAAAAAAAAAGATCCTTTAATTTGCCTACTTGCCATTAGGATAGGTTAGTTGCATATCCTTTGCAGGACGTTGCAGAACCAACCCCAACAGCCCCTGGCTGTTGTGTGGTTTCTCTATTAAATTTCATTCAGTAGTTTTCTATTGCACTGGACGGTCGGCTCCCTGATACCACTTTCGAAACCAACGCAAGGTTTTTCTAGGCATCTTTACGTCCAGTAGTTTTCCATTGCTTCTGGATGGTCGGCTTTCTTGATACCACTGTCGAAACCAACGCAAGGCGCTTGGCCCGCAGCTGGGAGCGAACCCTTATTTACCATTACGTAGTATTTAATTCAGAACTCTGAAAATTAGAACTTGGACACTGGAGACAGTATAATAAATTAGTCTCAAAGTCCTACAGTTCAAAGAAGTTAATCAGGTCATTGGGTAAGGCTAGTACTTTATATCAAACGAGTCACCCCGTGGTTACTCTCTCTCTCTGTTCATGAACCAACGAAAACAACACAGAATATCGTTACTGACTCTTGTGAAAAAACAGTTGACAGAGATTATGGTCTTAGCAAAGCCAATAGCATATACTCGTAATTAAATGAGTAAGTCAGCCGTCAGAAGTGTCAACACGAACAGTCAAACACTATAAACACGAACAGTCAAACACTATAAACACAAACAGTCGAACACTATATACACGAACAGTGAAACACTATAAACACGAACAGTCGAACACTATAAACACGAACAGTCGAACACTATAAACACGAACAGACGAACACTATAAACACAAACAGTCGAACACTATAAACACGACCAGACGAACACTATAAACACAAACAGTCGAACACTATAAACACAAACAGTCGAACACTATAAACACGAACAGTCGAACACTATAAACACAAACAGTCGAACACTATAAATACGAACAGTCGAACACTATAAACACGAACAGTCGAACACTATAAACACGAACAGTTGAACACTATAAACACAAACAGTCGAACACTATATACACGAACAGTCAAACACTATAAACACGAACAGTCGAACACTATAAACACGAACAGTCGAACACTATAAACACGAACAGACGAACACTATAAACACAAACAGTCGAACACTATAAACACGACCAGACGAACACTATAAACACAAACAGTCGAACACTATAAACACAAACAGTCGAACACTATAAACACGAACAGTCGAACACTATAAACACAAACAGTCGAACACTATAAATACGAACAGTCGAACACTATAAACACGAACAGTCGAACACTATAAACACGAACAGTTAAACACTATAAACACAAACAGTCGAACACTATATACACGAACAGTCGAACACTAGAAATGAAGTTTATTGTCGAATGAAATGGCAGTTACAGCAGAAACGTAGTTGCACGCGCAATTAATGTCATTTAATACACTTTCTGCTACTTGATTATTTCAATTAATGGCATAGGGTACGACATGTTAAAAAGGCATTCCAAAATAAATCCACAGTCTAGATTGTCAGGCTATGCACTCAGCTTGTTAACTTGGCGAGGGAACTTTATACTTACGGTCTACATGTTTTCGTTAATCACGTGTCTATGTGCTATTTCAGGCAGTTCGTATCTATAACCTCGCGAACTATCGTCAGTATCCTGGAGATAAACGACGCTCAGATGGAGGACAGTGGGATGTATGTGTGTCGAACCTCCAACCTTCAGATCGTCAGCATGAGAGTCACGGTCTTAAATGGTAGGTTCTACAGCTTGGCCACTTTGTTGTTGTCACGCCTACTTCTTTTTCATCTACTGCTTATCTTTGTACGCCTCCTCTTCCTTGTCCATCTTCTTGTTTTTCTTGTTGTTTCTCTTCTTTTTGTCCTTCTCTCCCCTTACTCCTCCTCATCCTCATTATCTTCTTCTTCTTCTTCTTCTTCTTCTTCTTCTTCTTCTTCTTCTTCTTCTTCTTCTTCTTCTTCTTCTTCTTCTTCTTCTTCTTCTTCTTCTTCTTCTTTTATTTCTTCTGCTGCTGCTGCTGCTACCTGCCTTCCATGGTTTCTAGCATTCAATATTTAAACTGAACGATTTCTGCAATCGGCTGTAGATCCAGGGTGTTTGAGTGTGTGTGTGTGCGCGCGCGCGCGTGTGTGTATGTGTGTGTGTGCCTAAGAGCTTGTTGTCCAGTATGGTAACTTACGGGCCGAATCAGCGTCTAGTCTCTTGACACAGTCCACACATTTGATAGATGGATGGACGGACGGACTCAGGACAATAGATGGACAAACAGATAAAAATACAGACAAGCTGGTAGATGGGTATGCAGGTGGGTCAGAATAAAGTATGTTGGTGGGTTGATCGGTAGGTACAGTGAAAGTAACAGGGGTTATTTTCTAAGTGGTGCCTATGGGTGGGAATTGTAAGAAATGTAATTTATGAGACACTTATCAAAGGCATGTCCCATCGGTTTGGCCAAGTCATAAGGTATATATATGTTTGTTTTGTCTTTTCATCATCTTTCCAGCTGTCACCTAACTATCTGCTTTTCCTCTCAGAATATGTCTCAGATTTATTGACCGTCAGCTTCTGATTTCTCGGTTGTTGTTGTTGATGTTTTGTTTTTTGTTTCTTTTTTAATGATATTTTTCTATGGATTCATTTACATTATTAATGCCGAGACAGAAATAAAAGTTAATTAATTTTTAATGTAATTATAACCGAAGAGAGGGAAATTCGGATTCAGTCTGGGTCGTTAGTATTTCACTAATGTAGATGGCAATATAAAAGTTTGTTGCGTGTTTTTTATAAGACGTGGCAGAATTGTTTGCGAGTTCACTGGGTAATTTTACGTTCAGTTTTTTGCCTCTGCTCTAAACTGTCGTTGAAACCAACGCAAGACGGTCTGCTGCCAAATCGACCACAGCTGTCATCGAACCGATTGCCACGGCATTTAGTCTAAGCCACAGACGCTGACATCTCGATATAAAGATATAATATCTGTCAGTAATAATAATAGGCCTAATATTATAATGCAATAATATAATACATTGTCAATAGTATTATATGTATTAGTAAGTAAAAGTAAAAAGTAAAGATCCCTTTTCACGCCTTTGGTACATCGGGCATATGGGAAGAGCAACCATTTTTGTAAAGACCAACCGGCACTAGGTGGGTAATGTGGTCAACATTACGCCGGCTGTCTTTACTTTCCCAGGACAGCCCATCCTGGAACCTATTTTAGGCTGGGTCGACCTGCGACGCCCCATACCATGATAAAAATCCACGCAGCCAGCAGTGGGGTTTGATCGCGGTACGTTGGAATTACGAGTCGGACTCGCAACGCCTAATTGTATTAGTATCTGTCTATAAAATACAGGTACTGGAGAATTTAACGACAAGTTTAGATATCTACTGGAAAATGAAACCAATGATATTTATGCCGTTATGCAATCTGTCAATGGGAAATACATTTTGATGATGTACGTTATGAAGAAAATAAATCAAACCTTTAAAATGAAACACAAAATCGAGTACACTCATACTATGTCTGTTTCACAAAGGTAACCGCAAAGTGACGAGCATTTCCTTCTGTAGGCATAAATCTGGATTAAACTGGCTGATCGCCAGTAGTATGCACCTGACGAGATACAGCGAAATATGCCAGGCAATCAATTACTAAGACAATGCTATTTTTAGGAAGAGCTGTTACGAAAACAAAAGAGAGCCCAACAAGAAGAAGGATTCATGTCATTAAAGACATTATACAGTTATATGGAACAACGATAGCGAATGCCAACCATCAAGCTCATGATCAGCTACTATTCCTCCTCTCGACGCTTAAAGGCAAAAATAGAAGAATTCAAGGGGGCTTCGTGGTCTCTAGGCATGGTGTCCGCCTCGAGTGCTAGAGGTTCCGAGTTCAATCCCCAGTAAGGGCTGGGATTTTTTCACGTGGACTTGGACTTCTAGTAATTCCCCCTAATCTCTTGGTAGTGAGATCGGACGCTCGTGTGTATTGTTGCGCACGTAAAAAAAAATCCCTTCGGCAGTTTGAAATCTAAAAGAGTAGCCTAACGGCGCTGCCCGGTCAACATTTGTAGTTTAAAATCTACCCAAAGTATTTCAGGATCCTCGCCGGTACTACAGAGTTTGTGCACTGTGCTAAGCTTCTTCAGACTAAGACTTTAGTTAGAAGAAGAAGGGAGCACTAATGGGTTACACCCGTGCGCCATGATGTTGATACGTTGACAAAACCTCAAACCCAGTAGACAGCAAAGAACTACACAACGAGAATTATAAATTATAGTTATTACTATGATCGCTATCTTGCGGTCTACATAACCATTGCAGCCTAGTTTTAGCAAAAATAAAACCGTACAATAGGGTATTTATCCATGAGTTTCCCGACTCGATACCATAGTTGGCTAAACCAGGTTGCGCGGTGACCGGGTGACGAACTCTTTGTGGTCCGGGTTCACGCCCAGAGGTAGGCAGAAAAGCCACATTTCTTCCAGATTTACGATATTTATCATGGAATCAAGGCCGAAAGGTTGCGATATCCATAATACCGAGCCTAAGGGTTAACAACTCATGGCTTCTGGATACTTGAAAAAAAATCCATGAGTTTTGTCTCATGTAAAAAAAAAAACACGTCAGGAGTGGTTAAGGGAGAGCACAAATCTCAGGAAAAGAAGCTAGGGTACTGCAGAAAACAGATAAACAAAAGAGAAAATAGCACATCTCAAATTATGTGAGCGTCTCTGTCCTTCAGCATCCATCAAAGACATTTAAATTATTGATCATACCAAGTTTTCTTTTAATTCTCGAAACGTAAAAAAGGTCTGCCTCGTAGCCGATTACTCTGGGTACGTGAACTCCACAAAAGAAAAGTGAAAACAGGATAGGAACAATCCGCGCGTGCTTTTGTTAAACTTCCCCCAAACTGGCAGTTTGCTCATGTGAAGGGCTGGTGTAATCGATTATCATAGTTTGGTGGAGCTTACACTCTTTACTCGAGTACAGGCTATCGCCGCAGCCGCTATTTAAAGTTATTTTCAATATGTCATTTGAGTAGCTGCCCAGTAATTGAACCTTTTCGATTAGAAATATAGTGCTGTTATTAGGGGTAACATTAATTATAGCCTGTGACAGTTGCGAGGCAGCAGTGTATTTATGAAAGGAATACGCACATTAAAAAAAACATATTTTATATGCTTTGATTATCAAGGAAGGTTTTTTTTAAAGTTTTTACTTTCTGAATAACACAGGAATAAAATATCCATAACTTTATAACTGGTACAGTCAGTCGATAAAATCCCGTCTTTCTAATGAAGTAAGACAGTAATGCATCTGTAAAACTGTTTTATCTAGTTCTAAAGCCAAACTCTCACGCTTATGGGTTTCTATTTCTTGGTGTTATAATCTTAGTGCTTGTATTAGCAATCACTGCCTTTAACTTTTCTTCAAGAACTCAAATCTGCACCGAGTCAGACTTTTTTTAAAAACTAACTTTGGCTCCAGTGTCGGTGCAATGTGCTCTGCCAGGGGTTTGATTCAATTCCTCACATTGCTATATTGACATGCACACAGTTGCTTGAACACAACAAACGACGAACGTTCAGTTATTGATATTTTTTCGCTGTTACCACAATCTCACTGACTGTTCGCTCCTGGCATTCTCGTGGTCGCTATGCATGGCTGATTCTGTGACCTTGCTATTTATCTCACACGCTGATTCTCTCCACTCACATCTTTCGGATCATACATCTGTATCCTACTAACGTATTATACCTGCTATTGTATATGAAGAAACTGGCAATCAGGAAAAATTCATTTATGTTTTCGAACAAGTACAGGTGGTCATGCGTTCTTCATTCTCATCAGCTATTCTCTCGCACACGACCACAACATCCAGGTCTGAACTTCAACTGCCTTCCTACCGTCTCTGGGTTCAGATCTTCCATTCCAGTCTCACGCTTTCCTCGTATCCCTCATTCCCTCACCACGGGATATTCGAGACCTGTTTATCTCGTTTTCTTGGTCTTCTGGCCTTGTCCCCCAATCGGGAACTCTCTGGGATTTCCCAAGGAATTCACATTACAACCGGCTTGTGGAAAGACACTGTAGAATTACACCCCTCCCTATTTTCATTCGATATATTAGTCCCTGCTTGCCTCCCAGGTTGCCTAGCCTAAAGTAGATGACTTTTCCTGTGAAGTCAAGCTGGTCAACAAGATGTTGCCCATATCACACATCTAATGCCGTTAATTCTATTAAAATATTAATATATTATCATGACGGCGTCGGTGGCTTAGGCGTTACGAACTCGCTTCGTAATGCCGATGTGCTGGCTTCGATCCCACCCACGGGCGATTTGGCGGCAGACAGCCTGGCTTGGGTTTCGACGATGGTATCGAGAGCCGACAGTGTAGAAGCAATGGCAAATTGTTGACCGAAAACTACCTAGAAAAACCACATCTAGCCACACACACAAAATTATGGGTTTTTTCTTCAACGTCCTGTAAAAACACTTTACTAACGTTAACCCTTATCATAATGCTAGCGCCTCCGACATAAAAAAAGGTCCTTTAGCTTAATTATTTACCTATATTTGTTGGTAACTATTATTCTGCTCGCATTTTATAACTACATAATGACAAAATGATTATACTATTCGCCTATCATTCAGTAAAGTCATGTTGCTAAAACAAAGATTATTATTTTTGTTTTCAGCTGATTCCTTCAACGTGAAAAGAG